TGAACCTTGTATTTACCTTGATGGACACTTAATTGAAAGAGTCAATAGTTACAAATGTCTTGGTGTTCAGGTGGATCAAACACTCTCATGGGAAGCCCATATCTCCAAGGTCGCCAGTAAAATTGCTAAAGTACTTGCTGCCCTTAGGAAGCTAAGACCGATATGTCACCAAGGTACCCTGCTCACAATTTATAAGTCACTGGTTCTTCCACATTTCGACTATTGCAGCGCTGTGTGCGGATATATCGGAAATGGCCTCAGTCAAAAACTGGAGAAACTACAAAACAGGGCGGCACGTATAATAACAGGGTCTGGTTGGGATGTCAGATCTACCCAGATTCTTCGTGCCCTCAAATGGGAAAGCCTCACTGACAGACGTGCAAAACAGTTGAAATCTTTAATGTTTAAAACTGCTAATAACCTTGTACCCGAATACCTGTCTGACAAATTCACCAGCGTAAATACCATCCACAGGCATAATTTACGGGGCGCCCAACACAACTTGTTTATTCCGCGGCCGAATACTGAGGCCCTCAAAAGAGTTTTCGTTATAGGGGTGTAGCAGTATGGAACAGCCACTACCTTAAATAGCTTTTATTCTTCTATTATATAATATTAATAACTTACTTTAAGATTTCTTCTTAATAGATTGTAGTTTTTAAGTCATAGTTGTAAAGTATTAGGTACTAGATGTTTAGGGTTAATAAGCACGGCTCTTTTGAAGACCACTTTTCATTTAGTGATAAGGATTCCGTGATTAAATAAAGTGATTAAATTAAATTGATTATCGCAACTCTAGAGTGGATAATTTTACAAAAAGTACAAATTTTTAATGAATTTTTAATTTTTAATTGTACTTTTCTTCGTATTTTTGCCACATCTGCTATGTTTAATTTGAATTATTTGTTTCAGTTGTTTGCTGGGACCACAATGAGAACTACTGGTTCTACCAGTAATTGTGTTATCCAATAAAGTCATTATCTAAGTCATTATCTCATCTATCTTGGAAGTCAGAGAAAACCTTCGGAGTATGGGCAGAAGCCAACGCAGTCCACCCATTCAAACGGTCTCTGGTACTTGAGAACTCTCGCCCTCGAGACAACTTTACAGAACGTTAATATGGAGGTGTGAGTTCAACAAAAACAAGAACAAGAACAAAAGCAAAAAACACGCAAAACCCGCAGACTCCATTTCATAAACATCTTTTTATTGGTTTTACATGAATTACAAAGTACTTATAAACTTTCTTTGTATTCAGTCCCATTGGTTATTCAGCTATAAAGCCAACAGCCCTCTGTCCGGGTTTAGTTTTAGGCCCAGACTTCGCCTCGCCTTGTTTTGTCAGAGCTAAGTACCAGGCAGGATTCAACGTTGATTGGTAAGAATTGTACTTCGTCTCAAAAATCTCTTTGAAGACGCATTCCGGGCGGGTTGGACTATTCTGTTGAAAACATAGATGAAGTTAATAAACTGAAGACAGGACCGAATACAAATAAGAGAAAATGTCGAGCGAAAAACCTTACCATGGATGTACTGATATTAATCCGTTATTATTATTATCATTATTATTATTATTATTATTACTATTACTTGTCGTTAATTTTATGACTGAGGTAAGATTTAAAGTCTTTTATCTCCTCATCGTCTGTCTATGACGTAGTCCCTTTGAATAGCGGGAGATCGCAACCTGGCCACTGTATAATGTCAGCTGGATTGGAGGGTTTTGTTTTCCTTATGCCCCCACTTAAATGAGGGTATGCCTCCCTCTTCTAAACAATCATCCTTTTGGCTTAAATCCTTAGAAGAGGGAAACATACCCCAAGTAAAGTGCCACCCTATTATGCTTTTCACTTACTGTACTGTACATCTCTCCCTTGGCGTTCATCGCGATGTAATTTCCTGATGCGTTTCCTCTAAGCATCACCTCAGCTGTTTTAACGGATTCCATGGTGAGAGTAGCTACAAGATAGTCAGAACAGAGATATTAGTGATTTTTTTTAAGTCTTTCATTCTTACCCAGGATAACGCCGGGCTTTCTAAACGAATGTTTGTTGTCCCACCCACAAGTGTCTTTATCATGTGGCAATTTGATTCAGGTTTGACAGAGGGAACCTGGAACACACTAAAAATGATCGAAATTTGAATTTATGGGCTAAGAAACTTACGGAAATCTATTAGAAATCTACTAGAAGAACGTCGTATCAATAGAAGTGGATCAACTTTGATTGCAATAGGCTTTGTTATATGATTAAAAATGACCGTATATGGCCACTTTGGAACAATGGCAGAAACAAAACTGACGATAGGACAAATCCTCCCCGTGGCGGATGATTCTTGTAGAATTTTTAGGATGCAAATAGTCACGGTGGGGTGGATGGTGGGGCGACTGTTGCTTTCGTAACTGAAGTAAACATCCCACTTCCCACTGTCTTTTCCTTTTTATTGCTTAAAACTGGCAAAAGCTATATTCAATTAGAGGCTCACTATGCGATGCAATGTTAACGAGAGCATGTTGTAACCCGTTATTAACATCCGAAGCCTCCCGGCGCCGTTGTATCATCTAGAAGAGTATCGTCATTTGCTCGATTGTTTAATGTGGGTGTATTTAATAATGGTAATAACGTCCAAGGCCTCGCACGTCGTTAATACAAGTTTCATTCATTCATTCATTTCATTGATTCATTTTCATGGCTATCATTCTCTTTTCGTATTTCAATTCAACAAAAAGAGTTAAAAAAAAAAAACAATGGCGAGTGGAAATAGTTGCACACGCTCGTCACTTTCTCCCATTTGACTCAACTGTTTAATCCGAGTATGTTTGAAATTCCGCGAGGTTTACATTGCTCGTTGGTAAGTAGCGAGTTTCTTTTGCTGTAGTATTCAAAGCTTTTGTGCATGTTTTGTGCTATACTGTGTTGATTTTATGATATCTGTCACCTTTTCAGGGATCAGATGGTGCTGCTTGCAGTCCGTTTCCTCACTGAGCGGCCCACTTTTCGGGATTTAGAAGAACATGGTTTGTAATGTGAAGCAATTTTAATGTTTTTACGACTTTAATTAATTCGAGACTAGTGTTAATGAGATTTTCTTACATTTTCGCAAGTTCCTGCCTTTTAGTTTCAAGATGTAAATCATTCTAAAAAGATAGAATGAGTAAGTGTACGTCTTCCACTGACATTTTGCTTTTGTCTCTGATGAATTTTTTTGAAACTGAAAAATGCCTTAGAAATAAAGCTCAGGGAAGCAGTTCAAAAAAAGGAGATGAGAAAATGTGCAGTCTTTTTAAAATTGTCCACGACTGACAACATCGTTTAGTTAAGAAATCCCATCCGGCGGTTACACTTGGTCATCAAGCTATGGACTCAGTTCTAATGCATGATTTAAAAAGGGCATTTTGTTTTCCGTTGGGACTTTCGAAATGCTAAATATCTTTCAGTGGTATAAACTAAAGCAATATTAATCGAATAATCTGAAACAATGCTGGCGCGAAATACATTTATACATATATGGATATTACAAAAGAAGAAAACAGGTTTGAATCTAGTTTCATAATTTCAGCTCCAAATTCACGCAAACGGAACAAACGTATCAACTTTGTTATTGATTTAATGGATCCCATTAATTTTCTTTTCCTTTCAAGGAGATATTTCACTCCTTGTGGATAGTTCACTGAATTCTCGTTACCTACCTTGCCAGCGCATGGGAGTGGTCCTATGTCAATCGATTTTACCATTTACGGTAACCATTTACTTACCAGAACAACTGGTAATTTAAGCCGGGTAAAGAATCATAAATAAAACCTCTACTCACCATAACGATCTTCACTATCTCGTGTTCCCTCGACTCTGCTCTCTGTCACTTTAAGGTAGAAACCATGCCGACATTTCAAACGGGTTTCACGTGAATAACTCACTGACAACTCGCTCATGATGCTATCAGATACGGAAATTAACCTGTCACCGTACAGGCTCTGAGTTAAAAAAAATTTCTTCGAGAAAACGTTGTCGAGATCCTGCTGGGTGGAAGAGCTAGCGTTTCACTTTCGTTACCGTGTAAAACGCGTGGACTGTTTGTGATCACAACTTTGCAAAAGCTTTCTACAACATTTACCTATGCGTGTCTTCGTCCCCAGTCTCTCCTCCGCTATATGTTGCCTACGCAGATCATTGTACACCCTAGTAATTAACCTTTCGCAGGCGTGATCAAAAAGGATTTTTTTTTCCCAACAAGAATGTTACATTTCCAAGCAGAACGGTGATTGGAAGAAAGAAGAAATCAAATTTAATGCGAGGTTCCTAATGATTGAATATCAATTTTCCTAAACTGTACAAGAAAATGTATAGCAAATAATGTGGAAAATAAACATAACGATCTTGGTAGTGAGGAGGTCAATAGAGTAACAATGGTCTGTTCATAGAAAAACTTGACCAGTTACCAAAGTGCAAAACTACAAAGAAATGCCATCCCGTAATTATAGAAATTAAATATATTTTGGCAAAACAAGTGGACACACAGCTCAATTATCGGCATCAATTCATGACTCATTTATTGAGTAGTCTATTTATCCCAGCATGTAATTATTTTGGAACATCGTAATTAGGTAAAAACATTGATAACATTGATTCTGATTTCTTAAACATTAGATGGTAAAAATTCCACTGCTCTATGGCCGCGTGCGGACTTGGGTCCAGGTTTTGTTTTGCCATCATTTGTCAGCCCCAGAAACCATCCTGGGTGGGGTTTAGACTCGAAAGAACTGTAACCATTCGCGTCCTGATGTTCTTTGAATACACAGTCCTCCAACAAGGAATTCTGTTCAAAGATAAATTATGGAATCTTTCAATTGGGATAATTTCGTTTTCTTTCGTCGTAACATATATGCAAAGTTTTCAGTGTGCACACTGGCAGAGTACATTGATTGGACATTCAGCGTTGAAATATGAAAACGAAAAATTATCTCGTTAATGAGAAAATGTAGTGTGATAAATCATTATTTGGGAATTTGTGAGATTTTAACTTAACCCGCCTTTTGAGTTAAAGAAATATTTTTTTAAAGCCTTTTGAAAATATCTGAATAGATATAATTTCAGTTGAGATCGCTTTTAAATCACCAATATAATCCAGAATTTCCAAAAGGAAACTGGAAAACCGATGCCCAAAATTTTGCAACGATGATCTCAAAGAATCCAAACTTGATTTTCAAGGTCACTGTTGCACTACTTTTGTTTTTGTTTATCGTTCGTTTGTTTTTAATTTTAAAAAAAAATGTGAAATTCCTCCCCCCTCTCCCCTCCCCCACAAAAAAATCCCCAAGCTAAAAGTTAGAGGATAAAGCTAAGAGACTGGATCCAACATGATATGAGTTACTTGGATCATTTACGATTCGGAAGAAGCCAGACGAAAAGGAATTAACCAGTTCTCGTTTTCTTTAATGAATATTCCATTGGGCGTTATTCGTTCCCTAACAAAACATTCAAGTAGTGGACAAGGTACATTTGACACTATTTTCAAGAGACTACACATGATTAGGGTCTAAAAGTTTTTAACTGGAGAATGATTCCCTGTGGAATATAGTTCAAAGGAGAATTTTGCCTCGGTTGGCTATATTCCTTTTTTGCAGCTTCGAGATGGCGCACCAGTAAGTGCGACAGTCAGCAAATACTCTTGCGTAAATCCATCATCAGAATTAGATGAAGTTTCTACTCACATATGTTACGATGTTTCCGTTACTGTCCATGCCAATGTACTTATTGGATACCTCTCCACGAAACACGACTTCTCCAGGAGCAACAGAAGCCATTTGAA